AGCAGATCTGTGTAAGGCAATTAATTCACCATTTGATTTCTTGACTGCTGCTTACGTGAGAGCTCATTATTGACCCACGTAAATGGAAGTCCTTGACAACATCAGTGTTTTCTCCATTTATCATGATGTCACTCATCGGTCTGATTGTGAGAATCTTTTTTTTTAACAGTCAGGTGTGATTCATAGGGAAGCTGCAGTCTTTGATCTTCTTCAGTACGTACATCAAGTCCTCGTCACTTCCAGGAGGCAAGGTTGTATCACCTGCCTCTCACAGGTTCCTAACGAACCGTCTTCAAATGATGCCACACTCTTCCTCATACAGTCCAGCCTCTCGGGTGATTTGTTCAGCACTCACATTTCATAAGTATAAGATACAACTCAGACACAAGCATTGCCTGTTTTTAAACCATTCAGTTCCCCCTTTTCCTGTTCAAACGACTGCTTCATGTTCCACACGGACCCCGTTTAGTGTTCAGAAGTTTCCGCCCTCCTCCATGTGGTCCATCGTTTGTGATGCTCGGTCCAATGCCTTTGCACGGTCCATAACGCACAAGGAAGCATCTTTCTGGGACTCTCTTTCAGCCAGGACCCATCAGACATCAGCAGAGCTATTCCTCATGCCACATCTTCTTCCGAATCTGGATTGGATTTCTGGGAGCTCACTGTTGACGTAAGATGTATCATTTGAAAATGATCTTTGGCAAAGTTTTACTTTGCACGTGGCATGAATGATATTGTTTCATAATAACCCCCATCTGTTGGGTCACCTTTATGTGGGATGGGTACAAATATGGATTTCTCCTAGTCAGTTAGCCAGGTGGCTGCTTCTAGCACCATGTCACTTTGTTGAAAGTTTTCGATTTTTCTTAACCATAGGGCATGGCAATCCAGACTCAGAGAGCTGGTCGAGACTCATTTCCTTGGATAGCAGTTTCTGTTCTTGACAGAAAGTTCAGTGGAGCAGAAATACTGAGCATTCCCTTGACTCCCCCTAAAACTCATCTGCACACACATGACCATCATCCCAATTAGGCACAGGCAATCACACCCAGAAAGAACTGTGGGACAACAGCTAAGAGAACATACCTGTTACGTTTCACTGAGCTGCCTTCTGGTAGCTCCCTCGACTGAGGAATTTGTGCTGGCTGCTAATTCCTGGGCTGGAACCTTTAACTAATATGGGACTTAAGGCCCAAGAGAACTCAAGACTTCTTTCCTACTGGGGAGACGCATTCAAAGGGGGTGATAAGCTTTTCAGGAAAGGAAATTCCAGGCTCCAGTTAATTTGGAACTCACTAGGAGCCAAGAGACAAATAGCAGGACCAGGATGGAGCTGGGGCCCCAGCTAGATTATCAGCATGCCGCTTTCTGCCATCGCCAGAGGGGCTGTTGGGCTCATTAGCATAGCAGCCTGGTGGGTAGGTAGTGGCTGAGAGAGCTGGGCTGCGGATTCCTTTGGGAACCTCCACTCCTCTGGAGAAAGATGGGCTTTCTACTCCCATAAACAGTTAAAGTCTTGCAAACTCAGGGGGGCAGTTCTACTGAGTTGGCATCAACTGGATGGCAGTGAGTTTGGTTTTAATTCGGTTCGTTAGTGAATACTCAACAGCTAGCACACATCAGTAGGTAGGGCATGTATGGGAGGTACACACATACACACACACAGTTTGATATAAGAAACACCAACGTTTCAGTAGTGATCATTTTCAGTGCTCATTTTGCCACTGAACTTTCTCAGTCATCACAGAGCACATTAAATAAAAAGGCAAACAATGGAACCACAGACACCGAAGAGGGCTCTGACGCGCTAGGGTGTCATTTACTAGATTGATTGGCATCCGCAAGCTTAGTGACACAAGCCAGCAGACACAGACCCCCCTGAGCACAACATCAAACTCAAATTTCAGAACTGATCCCCCCAGATTTAAAGTTTTCCAGAATTGTGTGTCCTTAGCCTGTGTGTGAGAAGCCTGGTGGAGTGGTATATGCGTTGGGCTGTGATCCTCAATGTCAGCAGTTCAAAACCACCAGCCGCTCCAGGGGAGACGGATGAGGCCCTCTGCTCCCATAAAATGCTAGTCTTGGATCCCCACAGGGGAAGTCCCACTCTGTTCTATAGGGTTGCCACAAGTCAGCCTTGACTCAATGGCAGTGGGAAGAAGCACCCTGAATGTATTGATCCCAATTTTTGCAATGAATGAGAACAAGGCAACCAAGCATTGGCTGTGATCGGTGTATGGGCAGGAGGTGTGGGGAGACATCCCTGGCAGGTCAGCGGTAGTTTTCTTGCCTCCTGTACAGAAGACACGGGCTTGATTCCTGACCAAGTGCCCCAAGCGCAGCCACCGCCCACCTGTCTCTAGAGGTTTGGGTGTTGCAGCGATGCTGAGCTTCCAGACTCCGATGGACGAGGAAGAATTACTTCTGAAGATCATGTGATGACAACCCCATGGATCACAGTGGTCTTGACCCCTGCACCATGTGGGGCGGGTGCAGGACTAGCCAGCATTTCATTTTTGTCATGCAAGGGCCCCCGTGAGTCCGGGCCCAACGCGATGGCAGCTAACAACAAGCAAGGCCTTGGGAGGGAAAGCAAGAACCATTCCAAACGCTTCTCAAGGGTCCCTGGCTTCCTTTTATTCGGAGGCCCTTTCTCCCTCCACAGCCCTCCCAGACCCGGGGCATTGAAGCCGAATGGTCTCATCTCTGAACCCCCACTCTCTGGATGGCTCCGAACCAAAGAGCCAGGCGGGCAAGAGAGAAGAGGGCACATGTTCTCTTAGCCGGCGCCTCGGCGCCACTCCAGCGCCAGCTCCCGAGGAGGACAGGCTCCTCGCGTAGTGGATCTTCGAAGAGCACCAGCTCTTCCTCCTCCTCACCAGGGAGCACTCTGGGCTCTTCCCACAGGCCCAGCCTTGGGAAGTTCCTCCCCGTGCCGAACTGAACTCTCTTCTTCCGGCCATTAAACACCATTCCCTCTTGACCTGTCATCAATGAAGAAGCATGAACAGCTGCTCGCTGCCCTCCTTTTAATCATCCTTAATGGGCTTATAAACAGTTATTAAGTCCCCCTTCTGCCTTCTCTGAGCTTCATTTTACTTGCATTGAGGCTGGGATTGTCGGAGGAAGGCCTGTTACGGAGGGCGCCACACACCAGTGACGTCTCACGCGGGTAATCAGCCACTGCACCGCACAAACTGCAGCTCTGCTGCTTTGTCCCAAAATCTGAACCATTCAAGGGGGGTTCCTTGTCAATCAACCCTTATTGATAAATCATGCCCGATCTAGGCCACGATGGGGCCTTTTGAAAAATGCTGTTTTTTCCTGTGACGCCACACGCATGTGCAGACACGCACCACCCAACGGACTTCTCTGAAGTTCTCCAACGGCAGGAGAAGCCCTTCCGTTCTCCCGTGGGCCACCGTGGGAAGCAGGTGCTGATCCAACAGGCTCCTGCTTGGTCCCCTCTTTGGCTACTGGACGAGGTTACGAGTTGCACAGTGTCCCCCTGAAAGGATGTTGAAATCCTGATCCCCGGTACCTGTGAACAGAGCCTGAGCAGATATAATCAAGTTCAGATGCAGCCATTGAGGCGTGCTCCAACCCCAAGGTGACTGGTGTTTCGTAAAGCGGGGAGAAGAGGCAGAGACACAAGAACACAGGGAGAGCTCTGTGGGATGACGGAGGCCGGGACGGCACACCTACAAGCCAACAAGCACCGAGGACTGCCAGCAAGACAGAAGAGAAAGGCATGGAAAAGATCCAGAGAGAGCACGGTACTGTCCACTCTCCATGTCAGGCTCCCAGCCTCCAGAAGGGTGTGAGGATGTTTCTGTTGCTTTCAGCCACCCAGTTGGAGGTCATTTGTTACAGCAGCCATAGGAGAGGGAGACAGACTGGGTCCGTGGCTGCTGGGGAGCAGGACTGGGGAGCAAACCAGACAGACATGGGAAAGTCTTTATTTCCAGCCTTGGCGTTGTGTTGCTTTTCAGTTGACCACTCATAGCAGCAGGTCCTGGCTCCACGCAGCTGCCCACTGGCTCTGGATCCTGCGGCCCGTCTTGTCACAGGGCATTGGGAAGGAGCAGGGCAGGTGAGTTGGAAGATTGGTGTCATTTTAACTTTCATAAAAAGGGCAATGTCCCTCCCTGGATGGGCTGAGATGAAAAGGACCCGCGTTGGCAAGGATTTAGGGCAATTGGAACTTCGGCCACTGCTGGTGAATGTGTAAATTGAAGCCACCACTTGGGAACTCGCCAGCAGTGTCCAGCAGTTTGTCCCAGCAGTCCCCCTCCAGAGTAGGGGTTTCATCTGCGCTGAGGCACCGAGCACTTAGGTTCACCAAACATGTGTGCAAAATGACAGACGTGTCCTTCATAAGCACAGGAACCTGGGAGAAGCAACTGAAGGGTGTTGTTCTGTGACTCGGAGTTGACTCCAAGTCACAGTGACCCATGGGACAGGGTGGCACTGCACCCCCCCCCCCAGTTTTCTAGGCTGTCATGCTTGTGGAGGGCCCTGGAGGCACGATGATTAAGCATTCGGTTAGGCTGAGAACCGAAACACTGGCCATTGGAAACCACCCAGATGCTCCACAGGAGAGGGACCGAGCCACCCGCTCCTGGAAAAACAACAGCCCACACGACCCTGCAGGGCAGGCCTCATCTGTCACGTAGTGTCACTACCAATCGAAAGCGATCCAACGATGCCTCACCACAACACATATCAATGGGACTAGATCCCCGGGCCTTTCCCCCACAACACTGCTGGGTGAATGCGAACCACCAGCCTCTGGGTTAGCAGCTGGGTGCTTACCCACTGAGCCACCAGGGCTCCTTAACCCAAGTGTCCATCAACTGTATTATCCTCCTACACTGGAAGAAGACGTTACAACTTAAAAAGGTTGAGCTGCTCCTACTCTATATAACATGGCTGAGTCTCCCAGAAACACTGCTGCAGAAAAGAAGCCAGGCACCAAAGGGTACTTGCTGTGTGACTCCATTTATATGCAATTCAAAACAGGCAAAACGAACGATCCATAGAGATCAGAGTGGGGAGCGTGCGTATCACGGGGCGGAGGACCCTGGGCAGCAATGAAAGACAGCATCTACTACGTTTCCTCCTTCTCGGATGCAGAGCTGGTTGGTTGGTTTTCTTACTCCACTACTGTTTTTGGAAAAGATCTGAGCTGACTTATGAAGGCGATTTCCTGTCGATGAACTGAATTCATACGTGAAGAAATCAGAGCGGTGCCCTTTCCTAACCGGGGGTGAGGGCAGGCCTCTGCTGCTGTCAGCCAAGAAGCTGGACGGAGCTTCCTAGCAGACCGTGTAAAGGGGAAAGCGCGAGGACTCTCTCTCGCCACACGGTAACAGGCCAGCTGTGGCTGGTCAGCGGAAACCTGGCCAGTCCAGAGACCCGAGGGACGTTTCTCCTGTGCAGGTTCAGCAAGAGGCCATGGTGGGGGCACAGCTGTAAAGGCTGGCCAACGGGAGCCCACGCTCACTGGCTCTGCGCTGCACTCCCGCCCTCTGAGAGCTGGGGGTGAGGTAGGCACCCTGCCGAGCAAGGCCAGTCCTCTGCCTGCTGTCCACACCAGTGACTTTCTTGGGTGTGGTTTTGGGGGAAGCCAAGCTTGTTGGGGGGTGGGTTCCTTTTCTGGCGGGGTGGTGGGATGCAGGGTGGTGGGACGCAGAGTGGGGGTGTACCAGGCACGTTGTCCTTGCTGGATCTCACCGGCAGGCATCCTCAGCCTGTCCTTTGTGGCTCTTCTCTTTCCATGGTGGCCCTCTTGCCACCAGTGACCCTGTGCGAAGCGCTTCCCTGGGGACGGGAGGCTCTCCAGATTGACATTTGGGCAACTGGATCTTTCCACTTCCTGGCTCCGGTTTTAGAGTTGAATTCATATATCCCCCCGGTGACTGGAAGAAGAAGAAAGAGGGAGGGGGGTGGGAAACCACTATAAACCAGGAAATCCAAAGACTCTCCTGGTCCCCCATCTCCACCTTGCTCCGCTCCCGCACAGCCAGCTGCCAGGTGTGACTCACGAGAGCTGGGGAGCCGGCTGGCAGCAGCACAGGCCCTTGCCGCCAGCCTGCCCTCCCTTCAAGGGCATGGCATGAGGAGGCCCCACTCCAGGCCAGCAGCATGCCCCTCTCAGCTGCACAGACAAGGAGCCCCCCAGGGCCATCTCACTGCCAGGCGAGGAGGAGATGTTGCTCTCAGGGGCTCTGTGTGAAGCTTGGGATGAATTCGGCTCGATTTCAGTCGGGGCTACCCCGTGATGGTTCTTTGTCTTTTGTTTGTTTTACACGGTCCCGGCACCCTATTCTTACAAGGGATTCACCAAAAGGGGGTGGGGGTGGGAGAGAGAGAGAGAGAGACAGACAGACAGACCTTGGCTTCGCGGTAGCCATTTTTAGTGTGTGGACGCCAACAGACGCTAATTGGTGTGTTGGTTCTCATTAGTCCAGTTGGCCCATGTCTTTCTTCTCTTTCTCTTCTCCCTGAGACACCGAGCCAGGAGAGCCGCCCCCTGGGGCCCGGCACATCACCCACGGAAGATGGGCTTTCAGGTGGGCTCTGCTTGCTGCCCTCCCATCCAGCCTGAGTGGCCTCTCCGGCTGCGAATCCCACCAGCACTTATGCTAATGTGGGCACATTATGGTAACAAGTACCTAATAATAGAGGGGGATTTAATTCCAGCAGCAGTGGCAGCGGCGGCAGGGCCTCTCTGGAGAGGAGCCAGCCTGCCGAGGAGGAGCGAAGGGTTTTGCAGACGAGGGTGGCAGGCAGCCAGCACGCTTGCCTACTGAATTCGGTTTCCTTCTCTCTCTTCCTGTCTATAATTGAGCCTTTGTAAGCAGAGGGACGTGTGTCCAGGAGCTAAATGTGGAGCTGATGTCGCAGGGGTGACAGGGACTCTCTGCGCGGTCTAGGGACAAAACAAAGTCGAACCCACCCGCTCTATGTGCCTCCTGCTACTGACGGATGGCATGAGAAGTACCAAGGGTGGTGGGGTGGCCCTGAGTGTCCCAGGGGGCAGCAAAAGCCTAGGTTCTTGTTTTCACACCCCCTTAAAAATCAGTTCATGATTTAGAACAGAAGATAAGAAACAGGTGTGGTTTCTGAGGGAGAGTCTGTAACTGGGACCCCCAAGGGGGCCTCACACAGGCTCTTGTGGGTGAGGGTTTGCAAGGCAGCCGGCAAATCCTTGCCTGGCATCCCAACCTAGAAAGGTCAGCATGGCACAGGCCAGACAGCCGAACTGCCTGACCCATAGAGTGCAGGGCAGGACGTTGGCTGAGCTCCGCCTTGGCCTTCCCAGCTCCAGCCTGCAGTAGGACAAGCTAAGGCCACTTTTCCAGAGGGATGGCCTTTCGACATCATTTACCTGGGTCTGCGGCCTCCCCATCAAAGACTGTGTTCATCTGGATCGTTTCCTGAGGGGAAGAAAAGGTGGTCATCCAACACAACCTTCCACCCTCTCCGCTCCCCCAGGCCAAGCTGCTTGCCCCCCCACATCACGCTCTTCTACCAACATCTCTTGATAACCAGTTCTCCATCCAACAAGTGCTAGAGGCTGGGGACCCAGGGGCTGGAACAGGAGTTGGGACAGTCTGCCCAGAGCGGGCGGGCAAGTGGGAGCTGCCGACAGACAGATGCTGCAGTGCCGAGTGAAACAAAGGTGAAAGAGGGAATCTAGGGAGCTGTCAGGAGGGGCATAAGGAACCCCGATGGTACAGTGGCCATGCCACTGCTGACCATAGGGTCAGCGGCATCAAAACCGCTGCCTCTCCAAGGGAGAGAGCTGAGGCGTTCTGCTCCCCTCAAGATTGACAGCCTTGGACAGGCTGTCAGATTGACAGGGCCAGTTCGACACTGTCCTCTGGGGCCGCAATGAGTCGAATCTGCCCCCTGCAGGGAACAGGACAGGATCTAATCCAGATTTGAGGGCCAGCGAAGCCCCCGGAGTGTGGTGTCTGAACTGGGCGGAGGGGAGGGGAGCCATGATGGGCAACTCTGAGTAGGATCGTGGTCACACAGCCTTGCAGAGCGGGCGCGGTCGGTTGCCATGTGCTGCTGGTCTCCAGGACCCGACTCCCTGTGCCCTCTGCCGTCACCCCTTAGCTAGGCCAATGCAGTGTTGCATCTGAGCCCGGCCTTCCTTGCCTAAACCTAAGCTCTGCACCGTGTCCTTCCTTGGCCTGTGCTCTGTGCCATCCTGTAGGACCGGACCTCTGCCGAGCGTACCTGTCCCCGGTTCCCAAGAAGCCCTCACCCCACCTGCCTCAGATGGTGCCGACATCAGGTGGTTCGGCAAGCTCAGGAGGAAAGCCTTTGAGGCTCTGTGAGGCCTTTCGACTCCCCGTTTCACCCCATAGATGAGCACCCACTGACTTGCCCATAGCCCGTCAACTGGGAAAAGGTGGAAAAGGGCATGTGGGTGTCACCATTTGGCCAGCTGTGGTAGTTGCATAATCTGTTGTCAGTTTGAGACTTAAGAGTGAAGGGGCAGAGTGTAGCCTGTCAATCAGATCTCAGCTTGATGAGGTGCTTTGGAGGTGCTCAGGAGACAAATAGCTGGTTGGAGGGAGCACGCACGCTCGTTCCCTGTGAGACGATGAGAAGGTACATGAAGCTACCCTGATGCTGCCAGAGCCCTGGGAGCTGGAGGAGCCACCTGGAGACCCACACCAGTGCTGAGATGCTTCCACCGCTACTGGATCCACAAGACCTTCCACACACTGGCCTGTGATCTTCCTGCATTTGGCATCATTGCACATGTTTCGTGAGGCTGAAGAGGACTTTACAGATTGGTATCGGGCATATGGGTTAAGATCAGACTTATGGACTGTATCTGGACTGGGCTGGGATGTTTTCTCAATGTTCAGCTGCTCTTGTATGTAAAGTTCTTTCCTATACACATATAAGTGTCTCCTGGAGTTGTTTCTCTAGTCTACCCAGACTAACACACTAGCCCAGTAGCAACCCATTCTGTGGTCATGGGATTTCTTGACTGAACAATTGAGATCCCACAATGCCTAGGGGCCTCTGAAGGGCCTCCCCAAGGCACCTGACTTAGACAGCCAGACCTGGGACACCGCAGGCTGCCTCTTCTTCCCCCTCTCACACAGGCTGGGATGTGTAAGCTCTTGTGTGATGGGTCTGCAGCAAACCGTCCAATGGGCTGGCCTGGGGCCCTCCCGGTACTTCTCCCCCCACCCCATGCACATGCATAGTAAAGCCTTACTTACTACAGGGCTGGGAAGAGCTGGAGAAGTCACCTTCCCAGGGGCGAGCAGGTTCAGTACAAGACATGAATATGGGCCAGGCGTGGGGAGGGAACTCTCTACCTGTTCTGTAACACTTTGTATTGTGTGACCCTTGTCAGCTTGAAACATGTCCCCACCTGTTACCACAGAAGGAGTTCTGGTGGCCCAGTGGGTTAGTGGTGTTGGGCTCCTATCCACAAGGTTGGCGGTTCAAACCCACCGACCATTTCATGGGAGTAAAATGAGGCCGTCTGCTCCCATACAGCCCCAGAAACACTCTGTCCCACAGGGTCTCTGTGAGTTGGAAGAGTTTGGTTTGGGTTTGTAGCTCAGGGCAGATGTTCACACCCCCACTTCATAGATGAGGAAGGGAAGCTCATGGAAGCTGGGAATTCCCCAGGGTCAGCTGCCTAAGCGGGCAGAGCCAACCCCAGATCCAGCTAGTGTTCTGTCTCTCTCATTTTCCCACAGGGTTGTGGAAGAGTGGAGAAAAAAAAAATCCCCCTGAAGGCTGAAGCGCCGTTCTGGTCTTTAAGCTCTACTCCCCCGACTCACTCTCCTGGAGGGCTGGTGTAGATCATAAACACCACTATTCAATATTTATGAAATCCAGTTCTTTCGCAAATATATCAGCAGACATGTTCAGTGGAGGGAACAAATTCTATCAGGGGCTCGTCACACAGCAATCGGTTCCAGTGGCCAAATACAAGCCTCTCTCTGAATGACAAACAGCGCCGCGGGGAACCCTGCGCCCCCACACTCACCCCCACCGCAGCTCTCTTGGCCGTCTTCGTTTCTGCAGGGAAAGGGACAGGCAGAGTCAGGCTTCCCCGTTGCGACATTGACCTTGAAAATTCTACCCCTACGACGACGCTTCCCTACACAGGCTTTGAACTCAGTCTTGCAAACCCAGCAAACAATTTTTCTATCAACAGGGTTGTTGTCCATAGCTTCACACACACACACACACACACACACACACACGCACACGCACACGCATGCACACACACTTCAGAAAGCTGGTAGAAAACCCCCATTATCTTTCCATCCATTTTTCTACACAACAGCCCTGGAGGCACAGAGGTTAAGTGCTTGGTGGCCAGCTAAGAGGTCAGAAATTCAAACCCAACAGCCACTGCACAGGATAAAGATGTGGCAGTCTGCTCCCTGAAAGATTTTCCACCTTGGGACCCTATGAGGGGAGTTCTACTCTGTCCTATAAACCAAACTCGCTGTCTTTGAGCCAATTCTGACCCATGATGACCCTGTGGGTGGAGCTCTTTATGGGACTAGAAAGCCTCCTTTTTCTCCCTTGAGGCAGCTGGTGGTTTCCAACTGCCAACCTTGCAGTTAGCCCAAGGAGTAACCATGACTCCACCAGGGCCCCTGCTCTTTCACACAGAGTCTCTATGGGGTTGCTATGAATCGGAATCTATTCCGAGACAGGGGGCTTGGGGCTTGATGTTTGACACCTGGAGGATGTTGGATTCCTGCTCCACTTGCCGTGTTACTGACCTCGCGACGCTTACACCAAGTGGACAGCAGATGACCGGGCCGAGCGGGCCGATGGCACCAGTCACTCCGCCCTTTCCTTTCTATAGTGAAACTATGCCTCGGGCCTCTGCTTCGTTCCACCCACTAAAATCACGCCAAGACGTGATTACGCTCTGATTTTCTTCTCAGCGACAGACCAAACAGAAAAACAGAGACCACAGGTGCCGGGCATACCTCCTTTCTTCACCCTATGGGAGAGAGGGAGAGAGAAAGAGAGACATTCTTTAACTGGAAGGGACCTGGTGCTGTGGTAGGCACATGACAACAGGGCTTTCTTTGAGCAGCTGTGGCCCCTTGGCCTCCAGGGGCTGACTGGAAGAGAGGCCAGCAGAAAGCTGGGCAGGTGGGCTCTGGGTACCCAACCCTGCTCCAAACAGCAATTCCATCACTCCTGGCTGCAGACCAGAGGGGTGTTAGGGGTTGATGAGCTTGAACTGTGTTGTTTCATAGAACTTCAAGGAATAGATTTTCTTGGATGAGGACAATGAGCTGTGGACAAAGCCAGTTGTCACGGAGTCTGTTCTGAATGAGTCCTGGCTGCCCAGCAGGTGCCAGAGTAGAGCGGTGCCTGCCAGCATTCTCCGTGACTGATGTTTCAGGGGATCACAAGGCCTGCTGAAAAGATACTTCCAGGGGATTTTGAACCTTTAATCTTCCGGTTGCAACCAAGGTCACTGATAGCTTGCCCTGCTCAGCTAGGGCAGCCCAGCCCAATCTGACTGCCCCGGCCATCTGTCCTGTCCCTCCTCTCTCACCAGCAGCAGCCGTGAGCAGAGGGCCTGCCTCACCGAGTTGGGCCCCGGGGCCTGGATAGGAAATGCTGGTTTTCTGCAGCATGAGTTGCTGAGCACAATCTCTGGATAACCTTCCTGTGATAACCTCGGATTCTCTGATTTTACAACTTTCTTTTCTCTCGACAAATGTTTGCTGCCACATGTTACCAGAGAGGCCAAATCTGAGCCTGATTTTCTCACTAGTTTCTCGTATGTCAACCATGTTGGAGACAACTCATATTTAGAATCCAAGTTAAAAACGGACAGGCCCTAGGTGCATATTTAACACGTAGCCATACAGTGCATGTGAGTCCCTGGATTTATCGGATGACTTCCTTCAAGACCTTCTGCCCAATCCCATCACAGAGCACCACCATTCTTAGAAGCTTAAACGTCGCTTTCTCTCTCAGAGATGCCCCCTTTTTTCCCCCTCAAATCAATTTGCAAGTGGAGTCCAAACTAAAATGCCTTTTTATTTAAAAAAAAAGAATTCAGCAGATGCTCCAGGATTTCTTACCTTGAAGTCAAGGTTGCCAATAGCAACAACTTCCCCAATAAATATGGTCAAATGCAATGCACATCTCTACGCGAATGCGTCGTGCTTTTATACTGAGTCTTTAACCCATCGATTTTAAATTATTGACACTACTAGTTAATTTCAAAATACCTCTAAAAGACACATGAGTCTCACTACCCGTTCTTTTTCCCAGTGAGAAATCCTGAAACATAAGAGGTGCCCACTCCGACACATTTGGGCATAGCGCCAGACCCGGCACCCGGAATCCTAAACCTACTAGGACTCACTCAGCGGGGAGGAGGAATGGCATCAGGATCATCACAGCAGTGCTGTTGAATCTTAAGCATTTCATCTACGTGAAGGAAGAGGCTCTGAGTGGTGTAACTGATGAGCATGTTCGGTGACTCACAGAAAGATTGGCAAGTCCAGCCCACTCAGGCACCTCGGACGAAAGGCCTGGTGACCAGCCAGGGAGAACCCTATGGATTCTCGCGGTTCGACTCTGGCACACGTGGGTTGGAGCTGACTTGATGGCAGTTGGTGGAAGAGTGCCGCGTGATTTACTTGCATTTGCTCATTGTGTGGTTTCGTTGGTTTTCTTATTTGATAAATAAGGAAAGTGAGACTCAAGGAGGTTGTCATGATCCAAAGCCCCACACGGAGCCAGGAGGGGAACTCCAGCCCATAACTCCTGTGTGCCAGCTCTAGAAGCAGCTGAGAATCTAGAGACAAACACAGTGCTCTCGCCACTCCATTTCAGCAGCTCACTTATCCAGCAAAGATGCTCCGCAGACTGTCACGGTCAAAGGCCTATCAGTGAGCAGGTGAGAGAGGGAGGGAGAGAAAGCGTGCCTCTGTTTGTGGCCCCTGGAGACAGAGAGAGACTGGCCACATGCAAAAGCACAAGGATTGTTCAGTTGGACAAGGGCCCACTCCAGCCATGGGAGCCAAAAGCTTAATTCCCGTTTGTGTGCTTTATCTGATTCCACGCAATTTTGGCAAAAAGCCTGCAAAAACAGGACACGGCTATTCACGCAGGACTTCCCACCGCTTTGATGGAGGATGAGGACCCTCAGGGGGCTCGAGCTGCATCAAGGGCGGGGCAGGCCCACAGGGGGGACCCACGAGAATGGTTTCCCGGTGCAGCAGGTGAGGAGATGGGGCCTCAGGGCTAAAGAGAGCCGAGATTCCTCCCTTCCTGTCTCCTCTCCTTTTCCTGTAGCGACCTGGAGAAGCACCCCAGGCTCCATCTTTTCTTCTCCTGCCCTCAGTATTCTAAAGGAAGTGGTGGAAAGCGCCAGGAGCATTGGCCACTTACAGCAGTTTCTTGCCCCTCCTGATCTTGCAGGGCCAGTGTCTGCAGATGGCTTTGGCCAACACGATCGTCAGGGACACCAGGAGACCCAGGAGCAGCATGGCGCCCACGGCGATGACGAAAGGCACGTACCACGCCGATGGAGAATAGACGTTTTCCCTCTGGATCAGGTAGGTGACCCTGGGCTTGAACGGCAGAAAGGGCAAGGTGAGTGGCAGTGCTCTGATAGCCGAACCCCCTGTGCTGAGCGTTCACCGTTTACGAGTCCTCGGCCAGGTGGCTCTCGTGTGCTCACCATGTCTGCTGCTTACACCCAGCACCAGACTGATTGTCTTTCCCAACTTCTAGTCCACCAAAATCCACACAATTCGGGGAACTGAAAAGCAGCCCCCGGTCCAGTACCTCTCTATCTTTCTTCCCCATCCTAAACTGGAAAAAACGCTATTGGCTGGTTGCCCTGCCAAAGAATGGTGGGACCCAGAAGCCAATCATCTCTCACTGGGAAGCAGTGAGCCATGAGAACGGAGCTTTATTTCGACACCTTGCTGGGTTTTCAGTGCCCTCCCTCAACTGCAAGCAGCCCCTGCCAGAGGAGTGGACTGATTCCAAAGTGAAATCTCAAGTTCAGGGTCTGTGTCCTAGAGCAGAAGGGAGGTACACAAGTTCTGGAGGCTTCAGGATGGGAGACGTCATAACTGGGTCGCGCATCAAGTCCCCCAAAGGTAGCAACTCTTGTATATGGAAGGGAACAGACTTTGGAGGTGCCCAAGGGAGCAAGGGCAAGGGTGGAAAGGTGAAGATGACAAGGTTGACAAGTATTGACTTGGGTGGGAGAGAGGATGGAAGTCTTTAAGAAAGAGGAAAGAAATGAGGGGGTTAGGGTGGTGGTGGCTATATTAGGGGGTGGCACTGATAAGTGGTTTGAACTATTGAAGGCAGAGGTGAGGGTCTTAAATGCCACTCCATCCACCTAATTCACAATTTAAGGTTATTTTTAAAAAGAAGAAGAAAGAAAGGTGACAATTCCTTCATCAGGGGACCCACTGGCTCCCACGAAAACAAAAAGTCCTAAAGAACACCGGCCCCGCTCACTGGGGTAGGACTGACACAAGCACAGAGCAGGGAAGCATTCACCACCTTTTGTGGGCCCTTCTCCAAGCCCCTTCTGACGCGTCCTGCGGCATGTGGCGTGTGTGGGGCTGCTGACCAGGCTGTGGCTCTCATAAGCCAAGAGGGAGGAGGAGAACAAGGGAGTCAGTATCCGTATAAGCCACCTCCTCCAAGGAGCAGAGGCGAGCCCAGGCGTCTGGATCCAAAGCTCTCCCCTCCTCCACCCGCATTCTAGTATCATGCCTCTTATTTCCTTCCTAGCACGTGCCTCAACCTACCGTTATTGTAGCTGTTTGTTTACTGGTTTCTTCTGACTACCCCTCTAGACCCAAGGCTCTCAGATTTTACTGTGCACATCAGAGTCGCATGGAGGGCTTATGAAACACACAGATTGCTGGATCCTACTGCCCAAGTTTCTGACTCAGTCACCTGGGCATGTGCTTGGGTCCCAATGTACTTCCCTGAAGGTCATGATGATAATCCTGCCTGGGGGAGATATCATTGTAACAACCTGGGAAGCTCCCAGGTGATGCTGATGCTGCTGGTCCGTGGACCACACTTTGAGAACCACTGACATGCGTTAAAAACTCTGAAACGCAGGAATCATTTTTGACATGGTCACCAAAATGCCCAGCACATTCTCACCATGAAATATAATTTTTGTGGAGTGAATAAAATAGTTTGGGAGTGAATGGGGGGGGGGTACAGGAAACAACACAGGGTGACTCTTCAGAAGAGGTCAGGGCCCCTGGCAGCTGTCTGCTTGCACCAACATTGACTTGCAGTAGCTCTATGGCCAAGCAGAGAAGGATTGTGATGGTAGCACCCGGCCATGCCTACTGGCTCCTGTGCCACGAGGCGGCCAATGCCTGCTCTAGTCCAGGTCCCCGCATAGACACACATTCTTCATCATCAGACTAGGAAAAGTGGTGGTCCTATGAGTTCAAGGTCCCACCCAATTCTTTATCTACCTTCCGTCCATGGTAGATATCTACAGTCCATGTGGCCGTCCCCAGCAACCTCCAGATTCCAAAGCTCTTTCGTTCCATTCTACCTTGTCCCTGGGGCCAAGGGGTTCTCCAATGTAAACCACAGCGCAATGTGGTTGGGCATTCCTGGTTCAAAGACTTACCCTGGGGGTGGTGGTGATGATTGTGGTTGGGTGGGGGATCACTTTAATGTTCAGGGTCACTGTCCCTGTTTGAACAAGAGCCTCAGCCTTCTTCCTTCCGGACAGCAAGTTGTCGTCAGTTACGTAGACGAGCAGATTGTAGTCCCAGCTCTTATCGAGCCCTCCGGCGTAGTCAAAGTGAGCCGAGAGCAACAGGTGTGAGACGTTGGTCCCAGCGTTGGGAGAGAAGGTGAAGTGATTATTGATGTTGCCTAAATGAGATTCGATACAAGGGCGTACGGGAAAGGAAGGAAGGAGAGGAAGAAGTAAAGGTTAAGAAGCAAACGTGCATTCAGTCTTGTCTTCAAATGACCGTACCTCAAGTTTACACCGCATTTTTTAATGTACCGGGGCGGGGTCAGAGACATGTATGGGCCTGAACTGCCTTAGCGATTTCATCCACCCTAGAGAATTCCTGTCCACTCCACCAGGGTGGCTGAGGCCAGGAGGAGAGCCGGAATGGATGGCCGTCCGCCTGGCTGAGCGTCAGACAGAGAGATGGAACAATGCTGGTACAGCCCCTTCCAGCCAGTCCTCCCCGTGGGCATTTCCACCCTAGGGACTCACACCCAGACCAAAGGGTGGACAACGGAAGGGTCGGGCAGGCCACACTCCTTCCTCTAGGCCAGCTTCGTGCCATGCACTCCTGGGATGGGATGGGTCACAGACTGCAGCTTGTCCCCGGACCCTCAAAGGAAGATGCCTCCTGAATTTTCAGGGATCCTGGACCCAGGTTTTCGTGTAGTGCTCCCCCACCCCCTGACCACACACACACACACAGCTCCACTGGGACTCATGGCTCACAGCTCCAGGAGCCACCCCCTGACCACACACACACACACACACACACACACACACACACACACACACACACACACACACACACACACAGCTCCACTGGGACTCATGGCTCACAGCTCCAGGAGCCTGGGGCAGAGAGGCTGCCAGCCCAAGCGTTCCTGCTCATTTCTCCGGTGGCTCCAGACTCATTACCGACTGAAAACCAGTAAATGGAGCAGGAGATGATGCAATTTTCGCTCCCTCGGCAGCAGCGAAGTGCACGCTAAAGGCCTTGGGGTTCTCGGTCTGGATTATTTCCATCCGCAGCAACTGCGGGCTCCAGGCAGTGTCTGCCCCGGGGTGTGTGGCACAGCCGGCTGAGAGGCTTCCTTCTGCTTGAGCGCCTGCTCTGCCAGCCTCAGCAGGCGGCCAGGACGGTGCCTACTCTTTCCCGTGGCACGGCTCGGCTGGTGTGGGTTCCCACCTCTGGCCCCAGCACTTCATTAGATGAGCTATGCTGGTCTAATTTCCATGGAGGGGTGCTCTCCCCACCACCGCCACCACCACCACCACCACCACCATATATTTTTTTTAAGAGAGAAGATGAATGGGGCGAAAGAGAATTTCTGAGAACACGGTTCAAAATATGTCCAGAGAGCACAGAGCACACTGGGAAGCCCTGGCACGTGACAGGCTTTCAGGAAAGGCTGTGGTAGAGGCACTGAGCTGATTTTATTCGTTTAATTATCCCCATGAGAAACCTTTGAACTAGTCTGGGTCTTTAGGTGGTCTTCCTTGGGCCCTTGGGTGGCCTCGTCTGGCGATTGGGGAGAATTGGGTGAGGACAAGGGAAAGGCAAAGAGGAAGAGGAGGGGCACAGGAGCCTTTAGGCTCCTCATCCCTATAAGGTACCCCCACCACGTCCACTGTGTGAGCACAGACCTCCCCTCCAGAGAGACCAGCAGCCCTCAAGGACAGGGTCCAGACTGTGGAAGCCAACCATTGTACCTGGGCCGATGGAGTAACGGAAAGATCTGGGGCTGGAATCAAGGTCAGTACAGGTGAGCTTGAAGTTCTGGATGTTCGTGCCAACTTTCAGATCCACAGGGATGGCCAGGAAAGAAGAATTTGGGGTACATACTGGTTTCTCATCGTTTTCTTCCAGGATGTTCACAGTCACCTGGAGTAATAAAGACGTCCTTCTTAAGAGTTCATATTTATTAAGTGCTTACTAAGGCCTAGGCATTGGATTAAGCATTTTTTTCCCTGTGAATTAGCTCATTTACCTTCATATAGATAATATCGATAGTCCCATTTTACTGCTAAGGAAACCGAGGCTTAGAGAAACAAGGGACTGACCTAGTATCATAGTTGGTAAGTGGCAGAGCTGAGATTTGAACTCAAGGCTGTCCTACTCCAAATCCTATACCATTCATGTCTGTACTCGTGTGTGTGTGTGTGTGTGTGTGTGTGTGTGTGTGTGTGTGTGTGCATCAGAGAGAGAGAGAGAGAGATCTATGGATACAGTCACATGCCTGCACACACACACACACACACACACACACACTCAGGCACACTGGTTCGTCCCAAAAAGATGCTGAATTATTTCTCCAGTAATGGTTATGGATGGGTAGTGGTCCACTCTACTTTCTTGTGACTTGGGAGTTCAGCCTTTAACTTTGGAATCTGATGCAGTGGTTCTCAAATGCCATTCCACATCCCTGGGCCACATTCCAGACAGATTGCATTTGATTCTCTGGAGGTGGGACCCAGGCATGGTGTGATTTTGGAAAAAAATGTCCCCCAGATCATTCTACTACGTAGCCAGGGCTGAGACCCTCTGGGCTAGACTGGACCTGTCTGACGACGGCAGGGTCTTGTCTGTAACCGGGCTGCTAGCACCACACCGGCCAGCCTTCTCTTCCACAGCGGTCTTGGTTGCCCAGAGAGTAGGGATGTGAATGGGGCTGGCTGCCAGCAGAGAACCGTAGTCTGCCAGCCCCGAAAGGGACTTAAGTGATCATTTGTTCATCACCTTTCTGAAGCTTATGAATTTTGAGTCGCATTCATTCCACCTTTGAAATTTGGGATTTCACCTCTTTCTGAGCTGAGGAATAAATTGAAATGTTCACTCTAGTTAGCTCCCAAAGTGGAGTCCAATCATGTTTCTAAAAAAAAATGTTTTAAAGGCCCAGCCTAATAAACACTGCAATTGTCTCCAGTGTAATGTGTCCTTCCCCCAGCTAGCAGTGCCATCGTGAAAAACACGATCCCATTAATTCAAAGCAAGTCGTCAGAGGAGCTGGGCTCTCTGGGCCCGGGGTTATCAGCTGACTATCCATGTAAGAGACAGAGAAATTGGAACACAGAGATAAACATTGCTCAGACGCCTGAGAAAATTGGGATCAGAGTTGAGAAATGAGCTCCCTCTGCTGACTCTGAACTGGTCATTCTCCACGTGCCACTGGGCTGCCTTCATGCTTTTGCACGCTACTAATGGGAAGAGCAAGAAACAGCCATGCCCAGGTGGCCATCCCATTACCCTCCACTCATCCAAATCCCTGACGGCATTGCCCGGCTAACCCTTTGCCACTCAAAGGGTGGCTGTGGACCAGGCGCACTGGGGCCACTCAGGAGCTTGTTAGAATGCAGACCCTCCGGCCTCAGATCATCTGCGTCCCTCTGCCTCAGGGGCTGAGGAGCCTCTCTGCACTGTTTGCTGCCATTGAGTTGGCCCACGACTCATGGTGACCCCCGTGGTCGACGGAAGGAACTGCAGCCCGGTCCTGCACCATCCCCGTGATCGGCTGTAGAGTGGACCACTGGGATCCCCTGGGATTTCAGTGGCTGGCTATCAGAAGTAGATCATTAAGACTTTCTTGTTGATCTTAGTCCGAAGGCTCCACTGAAACCTACTCCGCCCCGGAGCTGCATGAGAGCCAGCCTCCACTGACAACACCCGGCGGTGGCTGCCCCTGAGGTGCGTTGGCCGGGATTAGACCCACATGGCCAGCACGGAAGGCAAGAGTCCCACCATGAAACCACCGCTGCGCGATGGTAAGCCACCTCATTTGATGATCTCAGACATACGCTTCTCTGTCGTACTCAGAGGCAACCCGGCGTGGGTTAAAACATGGCACAAGCACTCTTGGGAGAAAAGGCAGAATGATGGACCCTGCGTTTCTGGACAGCGAGCTTCTCTCCACCGGCCAGCCCCTGGCAAAAGCAAAGGGAGACGTACAGGGCACCAGGAAGACACGTGCCCTACAGATTGACTCTGTGGGTTAAGCAGGTCATCTAACCTCTGGTCATCCTTTCAGCACTTCTCCGAATGTGACCTACTGACGTCAACCTTGTCAACCTTGCTTTTCTGGACACGCCTGTGTGTCCAGCATGCTGCTCTGAGCACCAGAGCCCATCGCCTTCAGGTTGTACCCCAGGAAGTTTCCTCGTGGTCAAAGCCACACACCTGGAGGTGTCAGAGAGATAGGAAGCGCATCAAAGGCTGCACTCACCATAGCTGAGCTTGTGTCCTCCTTGTTGGTGGCCTGGATCTTGAGAACATAAGTGGGGGTTGTTTCATAGTCCACTCTCATCACTAGCTGGAGCTCTCCTGACTTGGGATGAATCCAGAACATGTTGGGGTACCGAGGGCTGGCCCCGCCCGTGGAGATGGAGTACGAGATGCTGCTCTGGGGCATGTCCTTATCGGTGGCTTGCACCTGGCCGATTCGGGCTCTGGCTGGAATAGAGTATGTCTGAGGCTCAGGAACAGACGGCCCAGCTTACTACCAGCAGGTGGGGAATGAGTTTTGGAGGCCTTTGTGTTGCTCATCCTTGGTGTACTTTATACCTTGAATTCCATTAAGTTTAAAACACAACCGCTTGCCATCAACGTGACTCACGGTGACCCCGTGTTCACGATGACCCTGCTCCTGGGGGCTTTCTAGGCTGTCATCACTAGGGAGCCACTTCCGGAGCCCTCTGTGCCACAGAGCTGTGGGTGAGGTAAACCACCAACCTCCGGGCTAGCAACCAATTGCGTATCGCTAAAGCCCTTCAGGGACCTAGTTCACGGCAATAAACTTCTACTAGTTAACTGGCTCTGTGGGCCAAGCAGCCAATTTGGGCTCAGCACACCCTGGGCGGTGTGATAGAAACCTCCGCGTAGCAGACAATTGGTGCCCTTCATCTCGAATCCAAGCATGCCGGAGGTCTTGCCAGTCTCCACGAGACTGCAGAGAGCATGTGTATACATCATGGGGGGCAGCAGGGATGTCTAAAGCGGTTTCTCTCCCTTTCCTTCCTTATCCTCTTTTGCATGTTTCAAATCTTCTATACTATGCATGAAGTTCTCTTAGAAACAGAAATAAAAATAAATATAAACTGCCGATCCAATTTTCTTCACTCACAAATCTAACTAGTAGAGCTACAGATGTCCCGACTTGCTTGTTTTACAAACATTCTTTCTCATAAACTATACTTAAGGGCACAAGCCTTCTTTTTTTAAAATTAAATAATCATTTTATTAGGGGCTCATACAACTCATCACAATCCGTACATACATCATCTGTGCCAAGCACATTAGTACATATGTTGACTTCATTCTCACAACACCTGCTTTCCACTTGAGCCCTTGGTGTCAGCTCATTTTCCCCCTCC